GATCTATTGAACTGGTCTTGAAATGAAAAAATACTGACAGCCCGCCCTAAAGGATGGATAGCTCTGCCCTAAAGCACTGATAACCCCGCCCAAAAAATTAATAGCCCCGCACTAAAGAACTGATAGCCCCGCCCTAAGAGACTGATAGCTCCGCCCTAAAGGGCTGATAGCCCCGCCCTAAAGGACTGATAGCTCCGCCCTAAAGGACTGGTAGCCCTGCCCTAAAGAACTGATTGCCTCGCGCTAAAGAACCAATATCTCTACCCTAAATGATTGATAGCCCCGCCCTAAATGATTGATAGCACCATAGTAAATGACTGATAATTCCTTCCTAAAGAAATGATAGCCCTGCCCTAAATGACTGACAACCCCGCCCTAAAGACCTATTAGCCCCGCCCTATTTGACTGATAACCATGCCCTAAATGACTGATAGCACCATAGTAAATGACTAATAATCCCACCCTAAAGTAACGATAGCTCCGCCCTTAAGACCTGATAACCCTGCCCTAAAGGACTAATAGTCCCACCCTAAAGTAATGATATGCACTGATTGGCTGACAGGCTTGCTGTAGAGGACTGATAGCCTCATTCTATGGGACTGATAGCTCCGCCTCAAAGGTGTTCTGTGTGAGCAGGAGTGAAGAACAGCCGTTGGAGGAGCAGGTAGTTGTGGCATGTGATTAAACACTATGAGCATCTTGTCTTATTTTGACACAGAAACATCATTTATAGCAAACACTGATCTCATTAATCTCCTGCAGAGCCGCTCACATCCTCCACAGTGAAGGTCATTTTTTCCAATCCCGAATGTGACTGGAAAAGTGTCAGTCATGATGAATAGCGGCGCTGCCGGAGTGACAGGCCTGTTTAAAACACACGTCACAGCAGGCAGAACGCCGTAAACAGCACGCTGTATTTTAAGCTGTTGTTAGCGTTCCTGTTGTTTCTGTAATCAGCGTGTGCTGAATGTGTGTGATGTTGATTCAGTGTGTGTGTGTGTGTGTGTGCGCGCGCTGGCTAAACACCTCTAAACACACATTAGTAATGTAGCGCTATTATAGTAAACACACTGCTAACAAGGCTTTTCTCACTGAGAGTTTTTGTCTCGTTTCTAGTCCAAATATCTACAGATTCATAAATCATGAAGCATTTTCTGGACAAGCCCTCTTCATTTTGACTCATTATTTTGGAAAACAACATTATTATTTGCTCATCTAAAAACGCTTCTTCATCAGTAGCGGTGAGGGGGTGAACGCGGTGATGTTTGCAGAGTGTTTGAGTGTGTGTGTGTGTGTGTGTGTGTGTGTGTGTGTGTGTGTGTGTGTGTGTGTGTGTGTGTGTGTTTTAGCTCACACTGAATTCTTCCACTGCCAGAACATTTACCTGCAGAAACAACAGACAAACACACACTGCGCTGACACGACGCAGAGAGACGGCGCTCTGACACACACTCCATAAGTGGAGAGATCTGCAGAAATTCAACATCCAGCGTCATCATGAACATCCACAGAGCAAACGCTTTGAAGATCTGCCACTGCTTCAGCGCCGCGCTTGCAGGAGGAGTGTGTGAGGGCCCGTTTCAAACAGGGTTTAGCTCGAGCGGGAGATGCAGAGCGGGGCTGTGTGTGCATGTGTGTGTTCGAGTGTGTGTGTGTGTGTGTGTGTGACTGAATGTCTTGCTGTATGAATTTCTTTGAATAAATTAGTTTAGTCATTTATTTAGTCTTGTCGAGGACGGCATTATTGTTGTACAATGTTTTCCTGTATTGGATGAATAGTGAACAATCACTCTCAGTCATCATCTACTGTCAACTTGACTTTTCTGTGAAAACAAGAACTATTCAGACTGGTTTCTTGAACATGACAATGAGTTCACTGTACTCAAATGGCCTCCACAGTCACCAGAGCTCAATCCAATAGAGCAGCTTTGAGATGTGGTGGAACGGGAGATTGCCATCATGGATGTGCAGCCGACAAATCTGCAGCAACTGTGTGATGCTATCATGGAGCAAAATCTCTGAGGAATATTTCCAGTAGCTGCTGAATCTCTGACATGAAGGATTAAGGCAGTTCTGAAGGGAAAAAGGTTCGAGCTGGGACTAGTAAGGTGTACCTAATAAAGTGGCCGCTGAGTGTAAGTGCTGATTTACTGACATTAGAGTGTTTAAAGTCTTGTTTAATGATTGCAAAGTAAACATATTGTTTAGATTCACTGATGGAAACTCCAACAGATGACGTAAAGATCATTCAGAAATCTGTTACTGGCGAATGTGAGGCGAACACACTCCGCGTGTGAGTTTAGAGGAGGACTGAAGAGCGCAGTACTAATATGGTCAGCAGTGTTTGTCTAATTGGCAAGAGTGTGTGTGATTAGTAAACAGTCAAAAATGTGGTATTTGTGGAGCAATGGCGGAGTGAAGGTCAGCGGCATTACATTTTGTGAAACGACACAATGTTCACACACACACACACACACACACACACACTGGAGCGGAGCGGCTGACAGAAAAAGCACTGCAGTGTGTGATGTGCTGTGCTGTGCTGCTGCTGCGTCTCTCCGTGTGGAAGAGCTTTATTTGGACGTTTATTTGCTTTCAATTTGCAGAACTAAACCAACATAATTACTGTATATTCAGCCATGAGAAAATCATCGAGTCGCTATAGAGATTTATCATAATCACTGCTCTCACACACACACACACACACACACACACACACACACACACACACACACACACACACACACACACACACACACACACACACACACACATCATACAAGCACATGCAAACACACCACTGTATACACACACACATAGTACAAACACAGTTGAAGTCAGAATTATTCACCCCCTGTTTATTTTCCCCAGTTTCTGTGTAGTGGAGAGCAGATTACTCCAGCACATCTCTGATCATAACAGTGTTCATAACTCATCTCTAATAGCTGATGTGTTTCCTCTTCATCATGATGACAGCACAGAATATTAGACTAGATCTTCTTCAAGACACTAGTGTTCAGCTTACAGTGACATGTAAAGGCTTCACTAGGGTAATGAGGGTAAAGTTAGGGTAATTAGGCAAGTCATTGTATAACAGTGGTTTGTTCTGGAGACTATTGAAAACAAATACAGCTTAAAGAGGCTAAAAATATTGACCTTAAAATGGTGTTTAAAAAATTAAAAACTGCTTTTATTCTAGCCCAAATAAAACTAATAAGATTTTCTGCAGAAGAACAAACATTATCAGACACACTGTGAACATTTCCTCAATCTGTTCAACATCATTTGAGAAATATTTAAAAAATAAATTAAAATTCAAAGGGGGCAAATAATTCTGGCACTTCAACTGTATATGCAAACACACACACACACACACACACACACACACACACACACACACACTTGATTCATTTTATTTGGAATGACTAATACTATTAGAGCAACACAGCATCCAAATAATCATAAGGAGCCCGTAATGTTTCACAGTACAGCAGCATGCAGTCATGGATGATCTTTTGCGTGGCACTATTAAACACTCAGTCCATTCTGCGTGCAGTATTAAATAACTGGATTAAGGATAGAGATGGCATCGTCTTCTCCACACATGAAGACTGCCTATTATTGCAGATACAGAACAATACTTTCCAATTTGTTTAGAGTCTTTTTTACTGAGTCCGGCAATTTGTAGTCCCCTCACACACAGTTTATGAAACACACACACACACACACACACACACACACACACACACACACACACACACTGGCTAGGATTAGGGATGCAAAATAAGACAATACTGTATAAATGCTAATAAACAGCTCATATCTTAATAACAGGCAGGTAATAACCCAGCACGTGGAAGAAGAAGCAGAAGAAGATGAGGATGAAGAGGATGAAGAGTCTGCTGCTGCAGCTTCAGTGCTGGAGGTTTGGGTCTAATCCTCTTCCTGTGAGAGTAATAATCATGCAAGAGAATACCCCCCCCCCCACACACACACACACACACACACACACACCTCTCTCTCTCTCTCTCTCTCTCTCTCTTTTCAATTGACCGCTTTGCTTCTCCACTTCAGAGAGAAGGTCCAAGCATGAAATTAAATTACACAGCACACGCTCGGGACACTCCGAACGCTAATCCTCACATGCCCTGCAGTGACTGTGTGTGTGTGTGTGTGTGTGTGTGTGTGTGTGTGTGTGTGTGTGTGTGTGTGTGTGAGAGAGACTGCTTACTCAGAGTTCTTGTCTTGTTTCTTGCCCAAATATCTGAAAACTCTTAAATCTAGAATGTTTTTCTAGACATTGTCTTGTTTTCAGAAATACTGTTCAAATTAAATGAGTTTTGGCTGTAAAAGAGTAAAATAGTTAAGTAAAGTCATGTTTGTCAGATCATTCTGCTTGTTTTAAGGAGAAACTCTCTTCATTCTGACTCATTATTTCTGAACACAGCACTGTATGTTCTGCTCGTCTAGAAATGCTTCTTGATTTCAGAATATTGAGATATTTGGAAAAGAAACAAGAGAAACACTCTGAGTACTGAAAGCATGCCTGCAGCGAGATGATCAGTGCTGGAGTGAAAACACAGCCTCCATCAGGGCTCAGTGTCCGCAGAGGAGTTTTCCTGGACTGTGTGTGTGTGTGTGTGTGTGTGTGTGTGTGTGTGTGTACCCTCAGCAGATGCACACGTGTGATGAAGCTCCGGGAGGCTTTTATTATGACATGCTGACCTGCTGCTGGAGATTTACATCTGGGTCAGCAGTGACATGATCTGCGTTCCATTCGGAAGGGCTCATCCCTGTGCCCTAATCCCTGCTGAGGGATGAAGTATGCAGGGGTCAAAAACGCTTCTCTTTTAGTGCACTAGTTGATGACCACCAAAATATTAACAATGAACATTGCACAGGTTCTGTCCTATTTATTTATTTATTAATTATGCATGTTTGTATTTGTATGCGTTTTTTATTTGATTTTATAATTACTTTCTTTATAATTTCTGTGTTTTCATTTAGATTTATAAATAATAAAAAGCTTTATAAATGTACAGTTTTTTCATAAATGTTACAGTAGATTATGAATAAAATGACTGTATAAATTACAGTAAATCACTGTCAGTTTAGGTTGCCAGTAAGACTGTACCTTTACATGCACACTGTAAATAAACAATTACAATTGTGCTGTATTTTTAAAATTACAATTGTAACTCTAGTGTCTTACTGGCAAACCAAATTGCCAGTAATTTACTGTAATTTTTACAGTGTTAATGCTTACAGAAAAATACTGTACTGAATCATTTATTGGTGGAGACAAACATTCTGTGACACCGAACAACTTCCCTCTATTGTACTCACAGAAGATAGTAATGGATTACCTTTATCCATTCAAAAATAATAATAAATAAGAAAAAAGCTGTATATTACAGGCTTAAACTTCAGTAATTTGTGTCTATTAGCACCTAAATTTGAAAATGGTTTTGTCACGCCATTAGACAACAGTGGTTTGTTCTGTAGCCAATCGAAATACTTATATCTCTAAAGGGGGCTAATAATATTGACCACAGCAGTTTATATATATTTATACATATACACATTCACCGAATGTGAAGGAGAAAGGGGATTTTAGTGATTTTGAACGTGGCATGGTTGTTGCTGCCAGACGGGCTGCTCTGAGTATTTCAGAAACTGCTGATCTACTGGGATTTTCACGCACAACCATCTCTAGGGTTTACAGAGAATGCTCCGACAAAGAGGAAATATCCAGTGAGCGGCAGTTCTGTGGGCGCAAATGCCTTGATGATG